AGGGGGTTGGACTAGAGGACCTCTTGAGGTCCCTTTCAACTCTGATATTCTATGTATTGAGAGCAGCTCCAAAATGGGAGTGTCAGATGGTAACCAGGTGCGCCCTGGGGCAAATATAACCCCACCAACACCATCCTTCCATGGGAATCCCTTGTAATTACTACTGACCCTCTATCCATGAGCATCTTCTTTGAAGGTTCTGCCTGAGCCATCCCAATCTTTAACAGTTCGGAGACACATGAACTACAACATAAGGGAGGCAGGATCCAAGGAGTGAGTAGATGGGGCATGAGTTTGCAACCTACTTCAGTATCTTTCTGATCTGGGCTGTGGAGCAGCTGAAGAGCTGTTTAGTACTCTCGACACACTGGTCTGACCATCCTCCAGATAACTCAGGCCAGCAAAGGGTAACGACATGCAGGAATAAGAGGCCTGCGTGCTCCTTGTTCCCTTGTATCAGGACCAGCTGTAGGCACCAGCAAACCAAGCACGTGCTTGGGGTGGCACAAATTCAGTCCTAACTTTTTTTTTTGTTTTTTTTTTTTTTTGCTTTTGGCAGTTGCACTCTCGGAATTTTTTTGGTTTTTGCTTGCGGCAACAAAAAACCTAGGGTCGGCCCTGTCCAGTATAACAGGGGCTTGGGACTCGCCCTAAAATACTAAATTTGGACTGATTCTGCAGACCTCTCACAGGCAATAATCACTACTTAAATCAATGGGAGCTTCACCGTAGATTTTGAATATACTGTATACATTCAAGCCCAACCTTCAACCAGGCAAAGCCCGCCCTATAAACAAGAGGAGCTTGGCCTATTCAGGGATTCCAGAATCCAGTCTGAGCATTGTATAGATGAAGATATCCCCTTCTTCCTGCTTCTGACTGCTCTTTCTCAGTGTGTGCCAATAGAATGGCTGAATTTTACATAAATCATGTCTTTGGTTATATATATTTTCTTGTGTTCAAAAATTAGCATTTGGGTTTTTTGCCATTTGAAAATAAGAAATGGAAGGAAATAAAATTCAGTGGATCAACATGAGAATCAGGATCTTTCTGAAAGTTATTACTAGTGGGAGTGGCAAGAAAGTCAGGCTCTGCCTTACCACAAAGTAGTTGAAAATAGTTCCCTGAGAACAACCAAATTGGAATGGACTGTGCAATCAATATTAATGTATGTTATAGATCAGAGTTAACCGTTTGCTTTTTTCCCTTGTAGTGTTCAACATAGGTAGGTTTGTTCTTATCCTCAGTATGCACTTCATACTCCTGCGAGAATTCTGCGCCACTGAGCAATGCAGAATTTTGCAGAAATTAACGTTGTGCACGCAGAATTTCCTTTCCCATCCCCAAAATGGGCTGCAGTGCTGCTAGCCATGACTAAGGTCCACTGTACTCAGTAGAGTCCAGCTTGCACATAGAAGACACTGCTGGGGGGAGTCCCCAGCATGCCCTGAGGGAAGGAGAGGGCGGCACACAGGAAACTCTGTGCAAGCCTGGGACCGAGCATCTGGCTGTTTCTCCCTCTGGGTGCCTTGGCTCGGGGGTGGGGAGGGGAAGGGGAAAGAGGATGGGTGTCTGGGCAAGGGGGGCCCCCACATCTGGGCTCTGGGGAGGAGGGAGTTTGGGTGTATTGCCTGGGGGGGGGTTGTGAGTGTCTGTCCCCCCAGCTGGGCTCTGGATGCGGAGCAGAAGGGGCCAGAGAAACAGAAACTGGATTGTCATAGGGTTTTCTTTAAATCTCTACTCCCAGAAGAAGTTTTTGTATGTGTCAGTATTGTTACAAGTATCAGAGGGGTAGCCGTGTTAGTCTGGATCTGTAAAAAGCAACAGAGAGTCCTGTGGCACCTTTAAGACGAACAGATGTATTGGAGCATAAGCTTTCGTGGGTGAATGCCCACTTCATTCACCTACAAAAGCTTATGCTCCAATACATCTGTTCGTCTTAAAGGTGCCACAGGACTCTTTGTTGTATTGTTACAGACATACTTGCTGACAGGTATTTTGAAATAAATTACCAAAATAATTGAAACTGGCATGATTATATAGTGTTATTTTTGACAAAATTTGCAGAATTTTAAAATATTGAGCACAAAATTTTTATTTTTTTGGTGCAGAATGCCCACAGAAGTAACTTCAATACTTCAGCAAAGATTACAGAATTGGGAGATGGGCCAGAAAGAGGAATCAAGGGCTGCATACATTTATGATTTTGCAAACTTATTTGAAACTGATACAATAAGATACAATTACATTAAGCTCAGTATCCCAAGTTTAGTATTTGTGTTCTTCATTTTTATATCCTCGTTATGCTGTAATTTTGATGATGAAATCTTACATGGTCTGTTCACTGTGTGAAAACTAACACAGTATTATTACAGAGACACTTTCTTGAACTTTAATGTGATAAATTAGAATAATAAAGCATTCAGAATGCTTTTTAGATGGATTGTTTGGATTGCCTCTAAACTACAGCTATGGACTCGTAACTTCTGCAGCTCTTTAAATAAAAATGACTGAACAAGTTTAATGGATGGCCGGTTGAGCTTCCTTTGGTCAAAAAGTTAGCCTGAACTTCTGGCTGTCATGCAACAATCCTTGTTTTTACTTCACTGCAATCCTATAATTCAGAAAGGAGGACATTATTCAATTGGACAGAACTAGCGGGCTATGATCATGCATAATACTGACACAGTAACTTGGTAGTTATACAGAGGTGACCTGAAACTGTATTTACTGCAATTTTGACTTTTATCCTGTGCAGTACCATTCCGAATTGCTTATAAACCTCAAAAAAAAAAAGTTCATTATAATTCATATAGAACCTTCATGTGGACATTTGCTTTTAATTATTCAGTGTCCTTTACTATTAGTTCATGTTTTTAATTAAGATATGCATAATATATCAAATTTCACAAAGTGTCTTTCAAGAAGCTTTGATGATAATGCAGTATGATGCAATGGAAATTCTCTGGTTTTAATAACACCAAAATGACACTATTTTGGAGTATATTTCTGAGTGCTTGATTCATTTTGGGGGGAGAGCATATCTGAGTATTGATAATTAAGATGAAGATTCTCATTAACTGAAGCAAATGCTAAACGGCCCAAGGGGGTGCATAAATAATAGGCTCACTAATAAATTGTAGTATACTGAAGGTGAGAAAAATAACTGGAACAAGGCTTTTGCAGATTTACTAATTACAATAGCTTCCAGCAGTGCCATATCAACCTTCAAAAAACTGTTTCCGAAAGTGTTTAAGAATAATGATAGCATTTTTAACTGGAATTGCTCAACCTGCTTATTAAAATAAAAATAAGCAAAGTAGCTGGTATAATTTTGTGGATTCCTGGTGGCTATCTACTTCACAACTAAAATAGCTCTTTCCTAAAAGGGCAGCACTTCTGAAAATGAAATCCATTAATATGCTTACATTTTATTCTAATCAACTACAGTAGTTAGCAAGTGCTTTATTGTTACAGCAAGATGATTTTGCCATTATGAAATTTATCATTCAGGAAACAGTAGATCTCATCAGCACCTGTAGTCTTTTTGCAATGACAGCTCTATAAAAAGTCTAGAGTTGGTATAGATCTTTTTTACATAAGTAATTGCTGAATAGTATACAATTTAAAGTCATTTATCTCAGACATCTGAAATTATGTAACTGTAAACAATCATTTATCAGAGAACTTTTAAATAAGCTTTAACAAAGTTGTAAGTAAGGTTTAGTGAGTGGAAATGGAATAAATGAGAAAGTACTAAGTTTGTAAACATTTAGCTTTCCCCCAAAGTTGTCCCACACCTTTAGTCTTACCTGATTGGAACATAATGTATTTATCTGCAATATGTAATGTAGTTTTCAAAAATCTGATTATTAAGCATCATTGCATAATCATGAATGGAAGACTCAGACTGGTGCAGATGTATGCTTACAGTTATACCCTATGTATTACAAAACAGAAATAAACACTTTGGGAAATAATACAATTAAATACACAGAGAAAAAAAATCACTATGTTCCAATAACTCTATGGTCATTGTCTCTTGACATGGTGTAACTAAAGTGACTACACAACCAAGATTCTCCCTTACCATTCCGGTATCCATACAGTCCAGAAACACCACCCAATCCCTTCAAACACCATGGCTTAGAGAGCCCAGCTTACCAGGTTCACTCTCCCAGGATTAGCTGGAAGTGCCACCGTAATTACCCAGTGCACATCCCTTCCAGAAGCTTCAGATTCCCAGTCATCCAAGAATGCTAGCATATCCACTTACATAAAGGAGAGCAGAGAGGCAGGGTATGCAGCTTCGTTGTACATTGGACAGCAAATGATTAGTAATTTATACTTGCCTCTAGTTCAACAAACATCAGTTCGCATATCACATGACAAAAACATCAAGGGGTCAAGAGATATTTAATAAATCTCTTGTCCCTACGCCCAAACAGCCTAGGTTCTGCATGCTGCATGGGCAGCAAGACTTCCAGAGACTCCAGCCTATAGTGGCAGAAGCAGCCAGAGCAAAGACCTTTCTTCAGGAGAATTTTCTTCAGGTTAGACTTTCTCTGCCCTGTGCTGACTGGCTGTTTGCCCAAGTCCTATGCTTCCCTTATAGTCTCTTCACCTCAGTGTCATTTCTCTTACCATTTTCTCTCATGCCCTGTCTCCTCGGCCCCCTTCCTTTCAATGTCCTCTCCCCTTTCCCTTTAGCTTATCCTCTCCTAACTAAACCCACAAAAAGAAAAAAAGGGGCGGGCACGAAATCGCCATCATATTGTTCACTTTGCTTGTGTGTTCTACCCTATCCCCCAACCTCTGTGTCTGTCTTCTCTGTTTAGACTGTATGATCTTCAGAGGGCAAGGATAGTCTCTTTGTTCCGTATTAATGCAGCACCTAGCAAGGTGGGGTCCTAGTCCATGGCAATTCAAATAAATCGTCGTCATCATCATCATCATCAGTGCACCACCTGCTGACAAATCTGGGGTCATTTTTTCCGGAATGGAGCCTGGATCCCAAGGATACTAGAATCTTCTTTTAATCTGACCTGGCATCCTCCTAATATATAGTACAATAAATCACCTCATACCTGATGCAGACTATTGCAACAGTATATTATGATGCAGTATATTATTATGGAAACAAACCTCTGAAAATTCATTTGCTCCGTTGGACAGATTAAGTTTCATGGAACAGCTGGCTAAGGTCTCCAAGACTCAAGGGCGGGGGAGCAGATACGTGAGGATAGAATTAAAAGTGGTGTTGGAACCTGAGCAGAAATTTTGCTGAGCTCCTAGAGTGGTATTTTCAAACTTATGTAGCATTGGTTTAACTCTTGAATGGACATGATTGGAAGTTCTACCATAGAGTTCAATGCAGAAGAATTAAGCATATGTTGGGAGCTTTTGAATATCCTACCTCTCGTGCTTAGTTCACTCATGCTTTAGACAGGACGTTAACCTGATAGATAAGTTTACTCTCTAGAAAGCTTGTTATGATTTTGTTTTATATGTGACCTTTTGTTTCCAATATCTTTACTCACTTTCTCCTACTAGTCTCTAAGGTGCCACAAGTACTCCTGTTCTTCTTTTTGCGGATACAGACTAACACGGATACAGACTAACACGGCTGCTACTCTGAAACCTGTCACTTTCTCCTGAATCTCTAGACTTTGATAATAAACTTATCCTTGTTTTCACTATAAATATATATCAGTGTTGTGGGGTTAAGCAAAGTGTTGATCTTGAGTTGAATCTTGCAAGTGTGTATATTATTCCTTTAGGGACAGCAGATGTGGTATTTCTGTCAGTTACACTGGAACCGAACCAGAACAAGAAAACCAGTTTGAACCAATATTTGTACTTGTACTGCAACCAAACCTTTACTATAATTTTGTTCTTCCTATTGAACCTGAACTGGGGGAGGGGGAAGTGTGTTACCAGTTAAACTAAGATTCAGCATTTTTCAAGTTCAATGTTTAAAAAAAAAATGGCTGTGATTTTTTTCCATTATAAAACAAGACAACAAAATAACATATGGGAATGTGATTGCTACTGGAAAGGCCTGCCCCAGTATAATAAGATGAGAATGAAAGTAGGAGGCCAGCCCACAAGAGTAAAGAGGGAGAAGTGAAGCTTAGGAGCTGCCTACAAATGAGGCAGCAGGGGGGCTCCAAGATAGATGTGCTTCATAACTGGAGTCAAATGGAACTTTTGTGTACAGCTGGAGTAAGGACACACATGCTACAACTTTTCTTGTTTGCAGGGGTATTCTAGGCTGGGAATGTCCACTCCTCTTGCCTTGGGAAGGTGAGGCTTAAGAGAAAACAGTAATCATCAGCTCCCCTTTCTCTCTTCTAAACCTCATACTTAAGCCTCAAGGAATGGGAGTTCCCTCCTCTTTGGTGGGTTGCTCTAGGCTCCTTGAACTTTTCCCCACAGGCCAGTATCTCTGGCTTCTCCCCAGTCCAACACTACTAGTGTATTAGCAAAGTAGCGGCACTGTCAAGAAGTCTGAGAAACAGCTTGGAATTTGGAAAGGAGCAGTCTAGAGTCAGAACAAGCTCTGTGAAAGTCTGCAAGTTAAACAAACTCAAATGGATAGGTAATGACTGGAGATCACCCTTCTCTGAACTGCTTCTCAGACTTCTTGTTGCTACTTTGCTACAACACAAACATACTTGATCAGATTCTGGAAATATGCAACTGGGCTGTGCTGCCGCCTTTGGCTAATTTATAAAAATTATATTTCTTCTGTGATTTATTACAGCGCTTGAGAATTAATCATGAAAAGAAACCAACAGACGTCCATAAGAAAGTTCTTCAGATATGGCAGTGGACAAAAAAATCAATTGGTCAAGTTGGGGAGACAGAGTGCCATTCAATCATGTCAGGGAATTATGCCACCAACTTGGAAAGGCACATTCAAGGACACCACCCTAAGGTGTATGCTGCACTTTCTTTAGGAAACAAAAAGAATTACAGAATAAAAATATTGAACAACCACAATATGCACCCAATCCTGATGAATCCACACCCAAGAAGGCTCCTACAACAGACGCTATTATGGACTCTTAGTGATAACTAGGCAATCACAATAACAAATGATGAAGCTACTTTGCACATTGGTTGACTAGAATTAGGCACTGTAAATGGAAGACCATTTAAAATAACGGAAAATTTAGAATTTCCACAGAATTTTGGCCCCATTCTGGAAGGCCTGGGGATAAACATTTCACTGAATGCAGAAAAGTATGAGGCAAAGTTGCCATTGTAGCAGCCACCATTCAGGAGAGGATCAAAAAATAAATCAAAGGAAGACTAATTTCATTGAAAGCGGATTTTGCCACATGAGTTGACACATGGCATTTATCCAACAGAAAATGAAGCAAACATGGTAAAAGCAGTGAAGGTAATGACTGAGGATCAGGACGCTGAACATGCAGAAGAACAGATTCTGACCAGACATTGCTGGAGGTAGCAATGAACCAGGGCTCCTTTAAGACCCAGGCCTCAATTCGAGAAAACATTACTATTCAGAAAAGCACTTAAACACATGCTTAACTTCAAGCAGCTGTTTAAGCTTCATCAAAGTCAATGCAAAAGAAAAAGCACCTGCTTACATTTAGGATTGGGTCTGTAGGAATCAGGACTCTCTTGGGAGCCATTTCATTTTGTAAAACAAAGAAAGATACCCTAGAAATAATAGGCTAGGTTGCCTTTCTCTTCCTATTGCCTGTATCTCCATTATCTACTGCTTTTTTGCTTGGGAGGGAAAACATTTGAGGCCTCGCTAATGAATGCAGAAAAAGTCCTGAACATTGGCACGTTATGAGCACTGTATCTCTCCAAACATGGCCAAATCCCGGTCTACAGCATCCTCATCACAATTGCTCTGATGCCACAGGGGCATTCAGTACTTAGATTTGGAGCATGGTATAAATGCCTAGATTAGCACTCACCCAACATCTGCAGGTCCAGCATATAACCTGTGTTCTGCTGAAAACTCAGCTCTCCTGCTGACGTACACTATGCATAATTAGCTGAGGTTTTTTAGGTGTTGAAATACAGTACAAGTCTGTAAATGGACGTGATGTGGCTGGATCACTGGCTCTCAAATCTTTGCCAGGGAAATGTGCACCATGCTGATCAGTGCTCCTCTCATTTTGCCTGGTCCAATCAGTGTGTTCAGCATTAGATCTGCTGCTGCACATAACAGCTGTTTGTTTGTCCAAAACCAGATTATATCAGTGCTATTTGGAGTCTTCAGGAAAAAAAAAAGATTTTGATTAGTTCCCATTGCAACAAGATAGCTTAATTTGAAGGGCTAGCTCAGTGCTGACATTCAAAATAGCAGAGAAAACAATTAATGTTAACTAAGTTGAAGAGGCACCTGCTGTGCGTGTTTTGAGCATGCCCTTTTTCAGGCAATTAATTCAACTGGCCAAAATGAAAATATTTGATGTAGGAGGAGAAGCATTTTGGAAACATACATATATTGCAAAATTCTACTTTTCTTGATGTTATTTAAACACACTGGAATGGATCCTCAGCTGGTCTAAACTGACAAAGCTCCATTGACTTCATCAGAGCTAAGAAAATTTACAACAGTTAAGTATCTGCCCCATTCACTTTAATAATGAATTGTAGGATTTGAACTGAGGCTGGGGGGAGGAATCTATGGAATTTTTGTCTTTGACTTCAATGAGAGAAGGATAAATGAAGTTAAGAAGCTCTCAGGTGCAAATTCATCTGGGATGTAACCACATTGAGTTCCATGGAATGACTTAAAATATTAACTTTGATCTAAGTTTTGCAGGCATATTATATTCTTCAAAATATGTTCCAGTTATAGTTATCCTTCTTGCAAAAATGCGATTTTTTTATAGTTTCTTTTTATATCTGTCTAATTAGCCAGTCTACATAGGTCACAGCAGATCTCATCTAATGTTCATTTGCTGAAACACACACACATACACAGAGGATCAGCATTAATCCTTATCTGAAAATGCAATGCTTTAGCTCTAGCTAAATCTTTCGTTTTCTTTCTTTCGTCTTCTTTTTTTAATTGACTTCAAAGATGAAATGTCATTGATATACTAAAAAGATTAGGGTGTTTCTGATCATGGATTTACCCACCTAGCCGTATGTATTATAAGACTAATGTATTCATATTGATTAAAATGATCTGATAGTGACACAAGGAGAGACTCACATATATGAAGCAAATCTCCCAGTGCAATGAATAGGAGTGAAGTTTAAATAACCTTAAATGTTAGATCTTGTGCAAACTTTTCCACTTGTTTACAGCCCAATGAACTAATATGAGCCACCATCTTGCACCACAAGGGTGGGAATGCAAGTCTGTGGGTCACTCATGTCTGAATTTTTTCTGTGCAACAGAAAGAAGTGTTTTTTCTCTTCTTATGGACAATCCATTGCTAACATTCTGCTGTTGCGCCATAGAACAAAAGCAATGGCCA